ATGGCAGAGACGGAGACCGCTTGTAACCCAAAACCACCAGAGGATAAGTCGTTCAACCTGCAAAAAGGTCACCGAAGAGCACTAGGGACCCCAAAATAACACAAAGGCCAAGCGTCTCTTTGTCATATTTACTCCCCTGGATTTATTGCTTCCAATTGGAGTGCATTGTCGGGTATAAATTGCCAAAAAGCGGCCACTTTCTACCTGCTCTCTGATCTACGAGTATTCGGCAAGGTCGATTAGTCATTAGAGTGCAGCACCCAGGCCAATACCATGCCATGTCCAGAGTTCAAAACCCAAATACTGAAAACTACAAACTGAAAACTAAAAACCCAAAAAGCCGGTCTCAAGTGGCCTGTTCCAAACACAAGACGAAAAAACGGCATACAGGCAGAGAACAAAAAAGGGAATTTATGTTTTTGCCGGTATCGTAAAACCATAGCAATGCACCGAAACTGAGAAATGGAGGGTTAGACGCAGAGTGAGAGGTTAGAGGATAGAGGATACCCTGGGCAGGTCGTTAGCCGATTCCGATATCCAGAAACCGGGTTGAACAGCGGGTAGTCGATGTCCTCTGCGAACAAGAAGGATATGGGAAGTGGAAGCAGCAGCAAGCCAGACAGGACTCGAAACAAGGTCTCATAAATGCTCAAATTCCTCAGCTGATCGGGGCCCTGATTAACGAACTCTGAGGTAATGGATTTATAAAAAACATTCATGGTATGGAAAGTTTTGAGTTAATCCAATTATCAGCTAACAGAAAACTACAAAACCTCTGATGGATTTCAGTTCGAAAGTGGCTGTAACAAATGAGCTGCCAACAAAAGTGCCACTGTCATTGCCATTCACCTGGTCAGCTGGCCAAAATGCACTTTTAGCCGGCCCAAAAAATGGGTCGCAACCAGAAAAGTGAGAGGCCAGAACTTGCTTAAATTATATATATATACAACTTTTTTGGGCCAGCAATGAAAGTAAAAAGCCAGCCAGCTGGAGAAATGGGAGCAGCAGCGCGGCAGCGGTTGCGTGCGTACAAAAAATCACAAGGCAATGTCAATTTCAATGCCATTAAACTGAATTTCGTTTTAAATGCAAAACACAGGTAGGCAGAACGGGAGATAACGAGGGAGAAACTACAAATTACCCGGTCTGGACGGGGCGGAAGTGCCAGCAAATCGGAGTGGGCTACCCGTCTTGAGAGTCCGGAATCTTGACAAATTACACCCGACATTTTGGCCGGCAGTTGAGCTTAATTCTTTGGGCCCTCCATTAAATGAGCTTGCAAATTATATGCGCTGCTCCTGCTGGACGCTTGATTCATGGACTACAGCCATTATACGTCATCGTAATTGAAACGCGACTGGAAATGGACGTGGAAATGTAAATGAAAATGGAGATGGAGATGACGGTGGAAATGCGTGCAACAAGTTTCTCGTTTAAAATAACCTTAGAATTAATTGCCTCACGTTTCCGAGGCAAACAAAAGAAGAGAAGAAAAACTTGTTTTGTGGCAAACAAAGGCAATTGCTCAAGTCGAACCAAAAATACAAATTTTGGGCTGGAGTCAAGCAGCACACACACACACGTGACCAGCGAGGACAACTATTGATAGATGTAACAAATTTCCCCGCCCCCCAACAGCCAGTTGAATTTTTCGATTACGAAACCAGCCAAAAAAAAAAGCAAACAAAAAACCAATTGTTGATTGACTTACAACAGCGGCGGCGAACTTGAGCTCTTCACTTTTCCAGTTTTTTTTTTGTCGAATTTGTGACTAATGATGAGGTCATAGAAGTTGGAGCTTGTAAGTCGCACGTTTTTGTGCGACTCACATTTCCATAGCTGATTATGCCGAAAGATTCCAATACCGAGTCCCCCTTCATGCCCCCTTGAACCGATCGTAAAAGCCAGCGAACAAACAAGCTGCGATAGATACATTTTCAGTGTTTTCCCCTTTTGGGCAACACATCAAACTCGATCGGGTCACAGTCCGGGTATCTGTTCTGTATCTGCTGGATACTAGATACCACATACGACATACTGAATACCGAATGCTGAATACGGAATACTGAATACTGAATACTGGATACTGGGCACAATGGGCTGACATCGGGCTGTGGACAAGCCCACACATCTGGCTGCCAGCTAGCCAACTGACAAATTTATCGACTCGCCACACGGAAAAGATACGCGCAGCCGACTTGGCATTGGGGAGCGCGTATCTGTATCTGTATCTCCGAACTTACTGCTACACGGAAGGAAAAGCTGATCAATATGAGATTTTACATCCAAACCATTAAAATTGGGAACATGGATCAAGAACTTATAATGATAATGTATCATAACTTAAGATTAAATATTAAAGTTGGGATCATATCCAAACAATTGGTTATCAAAGATACCAAAGGCAAAATATACAAGTACATTTAGTGACAATATTGGTTAACTAGGTACATTTCTCTCCTCTTTGAAAATTTAATAATATCTAAAATGTTATGATAGTATCAAAATACGAAATGTCAATAGAGTCTGTTTTTCTATGTGTATCTACGCTCGTGACGAGTATCTCGGCATTCGTATGCAGCAATTTCAAATGTTTTAAGCGATTATTAGTAGAAAGAAAAAACACCGAGCCGGCAAAAACAAAAAAAAGAGAAGAAAAACAACAATCTGTGGAAACTGCAAGGGAAAGCCGAAGGTGCCGGGCAAAGTGCCACGCTGGAGGAACAGAGATGGCGAGAGGAAGAGAAAGGGACGGAGCACAGCTTGAAGCCGGCTATTGCATCTCTCTCCCGCCGCAGCGCACTCAGCCGGCAAACCGCTTTGGTATTAGTTTTCGTATCTGTGCAGGCCTGTATCTCGCAGATGCATGTGTTCCGCTCATGTATCTAACTATCTTTGTATCTTTGCCATCTATATGTCTGACTTATGACGCAATTCGAAAAGTTCATCTGATCTTGTTGCGCTCTCCCTTTCTCTGGGTGTCGCTATCTCTTTCCACAGCCGGTTGTTGTTGTCAAGGCGCGGCCGCAGTCCGTAGAATTAATCTATATAATTAGCTGTAAAGCGTAGAAACCTCAAGCCATGTATCTCTATTTAGCCCTGAAATTGTAGCGCATTTATTGCAATTGTTTTTCCTCTAACCTCTCTTTATTGGCTTTTATTTTACTCTTCCCTTTTTTTTTGTTGTTGTTGTGGGTGGGTGTTTTGGGTTGCTCTAGCGGAATTCTTTCACGAAACCGAATTCTAAACAAATTTTCATTACGACACCATCATCATCAACATCATCGCGATCCGCAGAACAGCGTCGTCGTCATTGAGATTGTTTTTGGGTTCGCATTCGGCTGCGGGGCGATTCTATAAATGCCCCATCCGATGATGTTTCACTAACGAATTATTTTTCGCCGCTTTTATTATTATTAATCTTGTTTGTGTTTGTTTAGCGAGCAGTTCAACGATTCGAGTGACGTAATGGCAAAGGGGCTGTGGCTGGAGGATTAGCTAGATCATGTGTGTGGGATCATGGAGGGAAAATTCACGAACGAGTGGTATTGCTCTGTAATAAAAGGCCAATAAATTCCTTGAAACTGTTGCATTTTTCGAAAGATATTTATTATGGTATTTTATAGCTACATTGGATCAAAGTGACTTGAATAATTTTTCCGGGTGTCCCTTTCCATCGAAGATAATTAAATCTGAAGAAGCTTCGGCTTTTGGCCAATCTAATCTCGGAGGGGGCTCGAACTAGCCCCTAAATCAAGGGGGGGGGGGGATTCTATATCGGAGCGCACACACGCAAGAAGGCCAACCCAGAGCGTAACCCAATTACGTGCCAAAAAGCGGAATGCGACCCTCGACAAGTATTTTTTGTGCTTTTCTTCTTTTTTATTCGTTGCATAGTTGCACATAGAACGTGATTGCACATATACACACTATATCTCGAACGGTACTGTACACTGAGCACTGAACACTGGGGTGCGAGTAAATATATGCTCTGAATAGCCGAGTACATAGGCGCATAGATACATATGTGCATGTGTATGCTGCGCCCCCGAAAAGGGGGTGGCGCAGGGGGAGGGGCTAGCTGTGGCCAAGCCAACCTTGACACAGTTTCCGCCGCCCCACAACGATGGTGATGATGATGATGTTGGCGATGATGACGACTGAAGCGTCGACAGAACAGCCAGCAGCCTTTCTCAGCTGCAGCGGTCAACCCCAAAAAAAAGTATCTCAAAGCTGCATGGAATTCGTATTTCAGTTCCCTCGTTATCAAATAATAGTTGCGGTGACTAAAGAATACAATTTCTTAACTTTTCATAACAAATGGGAAGAGAAGTTAGAAAAACTCTATGAAAATAAATACAAGTTTGTGACTTATTTAAAATTATGCTTGGATTGATAGCATTAATGATGAGTGTCAAGTTTTGTTTTTAAGTAGTAGATAGATTTTAAGGCGAACCCATTTCCATAAAGCGTAAAGATTTTTAGTCTATATATAAAGAAATAAATTTATAAAAAGATTCTGAAAATTACAAATAAATAACAACTTTTGATTTTTAAAACGTAATAACAGAAATAGAATTTAAAACATATTTAAGGGTTTAATGGTATTAATAAAAATCGAATCAAATTAGATCAAAATATTTATGTCAGAATAAAATTGTAGGTAGGTTTTGTAAATCGTTATCTGTTAAATCGTATCTTTTAAAAACATAGTTATTTAGACATGTACTGAAAGTATCTCAAATTTATCCAAACTTATCCTATTATCCCCTTTTCTTGGTATTTGGCTTTGAAACATTCACTTCTTGTCGATTGCGATAAAAATTAAATCCTTGTATTAAAATCGTATTTAAATTTTGTTAACCCTTATCTAATAAGCGAAAACCCATTGTTATTTATAAGAAACAGCCTTTCCATAACTCTATTATTTTATATCCAAATATCTCCAAAGTTGAGAAACTTATATATCTTATATATCATAACATAACCAGCCAACTCACCTCATTTCCACTGTTGTGATCTTGACAATCACCTCGTCCTTGGTGGCGTCGTGATTGACGACATCGCCGCTCTGCTCGCGCCCATTGTAGGTGAAGTAGACCCTTGCCCGGGCTGCAGCTCGGTGTCCATGATGGAGCGGAAGCCGGGTCCGATGAGGTCCGACTCGCGGAACTCCTTGATCATGGCGCTGCGGCGGAGGGCCTGGGCGGGACTGATGTGGACGCTGGCAACGCGACGCGCCTCCACGATGACCGACGGATCTGTGGAGGATGTGGACGATGACGAGGACGAGGACGAGGTCGGGATGACGAGGAAGTGGACGTGGACGCGGCTGGGGACTCGACGGCGGTCTTGAAATCGAAGCGGACCAGGTAGCGCGTGTCGGCGTCAGCTGGGCCTCGCCCGGCGCCAGGAAGGTGGGCGGCGGCGGGGGGGAAAGCGGTCCCAAGTACGAGGGCGGGGTTTTCACGTCCGAGATGGTGCCGGAGTACCAGAGGCCGTCCGGACCCTTGGCGCACACCTTGGTGCCGATGATGGAGCGCTTGGCCAAACGGCGGCCGTGGACATTTTTGTACCTTCGGTTTTACCAATTGGGGGTCTTGAAATTTGCGTTTCCAGCGTATAGAAGCGCTGGTTTTCTAGTCTTCTATTTCGGTTCTACGTCTGTTTGTTTGAACTTAGCGCTTGAACTTGGCCTTAATGGTTGCCCACATTTCTCGCACTGTAACACTTTTGCTTTTTATTGCACTTTTGAGTATTTGATTTTCACACTTGATTTCCTTTAAATTATATTCACTTTTTAAACGCACTTTGTCTTTTTTTTGTTGTTGAGTTTGTTATGGGTTATTGGGTGATATTTTTTGGGTGATTTAAGTCTGGCAGACGTTCTTGGTCAGCCTGAAGACGAGGGACTTGCCGATACTGGGGCACTTTCTTGGCGATGTTTTTGTGATAACAGCTCCAGAGAGAAGGTGAGGCGGTGCAGGAGCCACTGGGGCGGATGGAAGTGCGGCTTTAACTTCACATGCTCGGCGTCGCTGGGCGTCTGAATGGCGTGGCAGTTGCGTTTGTGCCTAAGCATAATCCAATTTTGACCGCTTGTAATGTCAGCTTGCAGTTTGAACTTCCTGCAAGTTGAAAGTATCTTTTTTTCGTTGCTGTTGTTTTTCGCGCTTTCGCTGCCGGTCGTTTCACTTTTCGCTCAGTTTTCTTGCTAACAACACACGGACACACAGGGACACTGAACACAGAGATACAAATCGCCGGAGAGCAATATGGGATGCAATTGGCGGCTGCTGCACTGATTTGTTTGGCTCTGAAGTTTTGCTACTTTTTGCTTTGTTTGGCCGTTTATTTTTTTTGAAAAGTGGCCCAAGAAACTGAACGTAACACCAAAAAATGGGCCCGTTCGCCTTGGGTTTTTGGCTTTTACTTGGTTTGCTTTGCTTTTCACTTGGCTGTTTTGGCTAGTTTTCTGTTTTTCTGCTGTTTTGGTTTAGCGGAAATGGCCGAAAAGCGCTTATCGGTCTGCTCCCGAGAGTTGGCTATCAGAGACTGAGGCGAGCGAACGAGAAACGAAACGAAACGGCCAGTTACAGTTACCCACACACAGATACACACATAGGCACTGGCAATCGCTCTCCGACTCTCGCTCCCTCTCCTCTCTCTCTCTCTCTTATTTATATGTACATTCGAACATTCGTTGTTTCTATGGCATCTACCTGCGCTTGGAAAAACAAAATAAAACACATGTGTGCGTGAGGTGAGGCCTCCCCGCAGCATAAAAATGTTACGGGGGAAAACTGCAATTTCCACGGCTAACAGAGTGTCCGACATTGGGAAATCGGCGGAAAGGCCCACATAATTATGCTATATGCGCAGTAGCCCATCAGCATAACAATGACGCCATCGCTAAATTGGGGAAAACATAGTGGCCTAGCATAGCATAGGAAAAAAGAGCAGCAAAACATACTACGCAGTTAACAAAAAAACCCATCCATAGAGCACTTGTCAACGCATACCCGCATCATAATTCCCGTGCGAGTGTATGTGTGTGTTTGTGACTCGCTCTGGTTTATCAACAACAACAGAGCGATAACAGCTGTGGGAGGCGGCGCAGCAACAATGTTGCGAAAACAGCTGTTGAGCAGCGAACCTCAGCCTCAAAACAAACGAGAGAGAGCCGAAAACAGTGGGCCAACCCTGCTTTGAAAACCCTCTTCGGTCATCATCGAAAACCTTACTTAAAGAGTCTATATATTTTCGGCTTGCCAATTGAGCTCCAAGGTTTTAAGGTCTTATAGCACACATTAATTAACTTAAGTAGCTTTTCCTATTGACCAGTTCAGTTATCTTGAAAATGTTTGCCTACTTTAAGGCGTTGCATGTCCTTAAAAGGCTGATATCAGAAATAATACACAAAAATTTTTAAATACTAATAATAAAAACCCTTCTAAGTGTTAATCATTATTTTATTTAGGCAATACAATAAAAATATCCTATCAAGATTTTATATACCGTAAAAAATATTGCCTACTTCAGGGGGCTTATCTCAAAGCACCCATATAAAAGACATATGTAATTGGCTTATTTATAACCAAACTTTATTAGAATCCAAAGAATCTTAAGTTCTTATTGACTTCCAATTTAAGCTTACCAAATACAAACTTATTAAACTGTTAACTATATTTGAAAACTTTCCCAATTGGAAATCCAAATGGATCTAAAACATTGCCTACTTCAAGGGGCTTATCTCAAAAGCATTTATATAAAATGCATTACATATATATTACAAAGATGATTATGTTTTTTATTGATTTAAGCTTGCCGAAATACAAAACTTATAAAACTGTTAACTTCAAATAAGCAATCCAAAATATATAACGATACCTTTTTACACTCCCTTTTTATAGAGTCGGATAAGCCTTGCCAATGTTATTGTAGGGCAGCGGAAAAGAGCCGGCCGGTTTTCTGGTCTGCAACGATAACGTCACAGAATTTAACAGTTAAAGAGAGCGCTACATGTGGGCTGTGTGTTTGTGCCTTCCACGTAAGCGCTGCGCGTGTGTGTGTGCGCTGCTCCCCCACTCTCTCTCTCTCTCTTTTGGCGACTCACAGCTGTTATGTGCTCTGAAATTCATTCGATTTTGTTTACATCAATTCCATGCTGGCGCTGTAGATGTGAATATGCTGCTGTTGCTGCGGATGGATGTGGATATATTTGGACGTTTTCTGGTATTTCGGGGCTCTCCGCCGCCGCTGCCCGAGAATTGTTGTTGCCTTTGGAATGACCTCTGTAGGCATTCTCCGGCAACGTCAGCAAGTGTCGAAGGGCAGGGGGCGTTTATTGCGGGGCGTTGGGAGGGGGAGGGCGTTCCAATCTTCAACTCCAATAACCATCTCATCCATCCGAACGCCACGGGGCCAAGATTTGCGTAGTTATATTGTTCTGGTTGTGGTTCTGGAGTTTCTGCGTTTTCCGCTCCCTTTTCGGGGTGGATTTTCTGGGGCTTTTCACACCGCCAGCATTTTATTGACTACGTCATTTGCGAACGGAGTCATAGAAATCATAGAAAATGCACTGCGTATTACCCACTCCAACGGCCTATTGCTAAGTCAACCAAAAATAAAAGTCAGAAATGGAGGACGGACGGAAGACCTTGTCGGCTAGTGCGGAAATAATGCTTTCAGTTCTTATCTGGCCGAAAACTCAACTGATTACAGCCGAGGGAAAAACTTATGTAGGTCTTATCTATGCGAGACTACACAGGGAAAATTGTTGATACATTTTATTGTTGTTTATTTATTCATGTTGATTTGCATTTTATGGGCCTGTGAGCATATCTTTATAATCAAAGCTACAATAGATTTCAGATTATAGTGGGCTAGCTCTTATTTAAGCTTAAGAAATCTCAACAACCATGATTTTTTATTTATAAGTCTAACACTTAAATTGGAAAGTATAAATTATGATTTGAAATTTACAATGCCTTTAAGGGAGGACAGATATGAGTATGAGTGAGGCCTTAAAAGCTGTAAAGTTGAGAGTGTAAATTTATAAAATATTTTTACAATCGAATTTTGGATTGCTTTATTACTACAGTGGTGAAAATCTTGTAAATAGACTTTATTTTGCCAATAAAATACAGTTAGGAATATCTCAATCCATAGAAATCCAAGCTGTAGAAGTTCAACTGGTATTTTGACATTTGATATGGGTAGGTGATGATTGCTGATTTTCTCCCACCTCCCCCTTGCTGACGGAATTAGAAGAAGATGAAGCGGAGTGGCGGCCAAGTGCAAAGATGAACTATCTGGTAAATTCAATTAATCATTTCTCCAGTGGAAATTCCGCACCAACAGCAGCAACAACAACAACAACAACAACTCGAATCAACAGAGCGTTACCAGAGCTACAACAAATACGCAGTTACGAAAAGAAAACAACAAAGTGAATGTAAATGTGAATGCAATCCATGAATTACAACACCAAAAGCAAAGGCAACGAACGAAGGAAAACGCAAAAGGCAAGAGGCAAAACCAAAACAAAGCATAGGCGTTAGATGGAGCGAGATGGCGATAGTCAGATACAGAAAACAGAAAACAATGCACACACAGATACAGATACAGATGCCCCGACACTCGGTTACACAGATACACGCACACAGACGCATTGACACATTACCCAAACTGGAAAATAGGTCAACCAGCTGAGAGGGCAATAGAAATGGCTGCCGTCTCGCTCTAGCGCCAACGAGAGTGCATAAGAGTGCTGTAATGTTAGGGAAAAGAGAAGGAGAGCATTACAGCCTGTAAGAGAGCGCAATTAGAACGGGAATCGGCTGTTAGCTAACAGCGGCCCCAATTCGCTGGCCGTTCTGATTGGACTCGCTCCAACTGGAGGGACAGCCAGCAAAAGTTCTCAGCAGCTGTTGCACTTGAGATATGTAAACCCCCCTACTGCCGCACCCCTCCCCCACCCACTGACCACATACCAATTTTAAGATTTTATTCGAATTTTATGAAAATCAAACCGGATTTTCGGTTTTCTTTGTAAAGCTGTAATTATTATTTTAACCCTTTTTTGTCAGTGTTATTATAGCCGCTGCATTTGGTGGGGCGCCGCTTTTATTTCCTACACTGCAACTGGAAAATAACATTACAGAACATTGACAGTAAATATAAGATCATAAAAAATCCATAAATTATTATTATACAATTTCCGAACTTAAAGAATATCTAAATTTCTTTAATCCGTTTCTGATTTATTTATCTTAATCCTAATTTCGAGAGTATTCTCATTCCCTCCTATATCACATGCTTAATTTTTTTTTTTTTTTTAAATTATTATTATAAAATTTCCGATCTTAAAGAATATCTAAATTTCTTTTATCCGATTCTGATTTACATATCTTAATCCTAATTTCGAGTTTATTTTCATTCCCTCCTCTGTTACATGCAATTTATTATACAATTCCGAACTTAAAGAATGTCTAAATATCTTTAATCCGATTCTGATTTATTTATCTTAATCCTAATTTCGAGTGTATTCCCATTCCCTCCTTTATCACACGCTTATACCCG